AGAGTCCAAACACTCTAAGATTACTCTAATATTACACTCTAATATTATATAAATAACTTTCACAAATCTTTATATATATAGTTATATCTTTTTTGTTTGGTACTAAATGTTTTGTGATTTGTTTTTACATTAGGCTGGACAAAGACATCTTTGTCAAGAAAGTATTTAGCTACACTGTAAAAAAAAAAGAATCAATTTTAACAGTAAAAGACTGTAAAATGTTTACTTTCAAAATCTATTATTTGCTTAACAGTAAGTTTCCTTATTCTATATGATGAAAAAATGTAATAAAACTAAAACAGGACATTTTATGTTTTATTTTACAGTAAAATTACAGTTCAGTTTACAGTTTTTTTAAGTTAAAAAGACAAAATCATCTTACAATTTAAAGTGAAAATGCTGCTGTATTTTTATTTGTGTGCACCGTATATGTTAGTATTCACCTTGTGATGCGCTTTGATTCATCATGTGACTTTCTCATTAACCACCTGTTATTGGTGGTTGTATTATAAAGATATGAAACAGATTTTAGTATTAATATTATTTCTGTATGTTAATGGAAGATACATTTACAGAACATTCAGTTTTATTATTACTGTAAATTTAAGTTCAATCCATTAAAAAAAATAAAACCACCATAAAGGCTTGTGTGTGTGTGTGTGTCCAGTTTCTAAGAAGAGATATTTTTATACTCTTTAAACATCATTTCTCCTGTATGCAAAGTACTTTGCTCACATTTTTTATTGAACTTGACATGCATATTACAGAAATGGAAAACTTTTCCAAGAATGGAAAGCAGCGAGGTCATCTCAATTGACAAATCTACAGTTGTTATCCAGTTAAATCCGGCGGGTGACACAAGACGGGGTTATTTGTAATGAGGGACAGAAGGCTGGTGGAGAAAAACATGATTTTTCAAAGCAGAACCAAAGGCACTGGGGGTAATGCATTGAATGATGAATTATAATTATATGATGTATGGTTTGGAGAATTATCTGTTAATTTAAATATGTCTAGATCGCTGTGTCCAAACATGCCATGATGAATAAAACATCTAACTCTAGATAATGGTTGGACTGATGGTCTTCTTTCTTGGTATTGTACTCAGCACCAGTGTCCCTGATTACAATTACTATGCTGTTCTTGAATATAGTGGCATAACCTACTGGGGATCCCTTGTTGTAAGTTTAACTTAATGGTTTAGCTTTTTTGCTTCTCATTTCCAGAATCTTTGAAATGTCCTGTGTTTCCTTCTCATTACATCAGTGCTGGATCTCTGTCTGTTGCTGCGCAGAATAAACTTCATCCGTGTCTGGTATGTACAAATCAACCACCAATTCAGCCCATTATAACTCTTTATTTGTAACATTGTTTTTAATGTATTCTCACACTATTATCAGTTGTAACTTTAGGATGTCACAATACCAAGTAATCATGTAAGTTTACATCCTCAGGTATGCACAGTGTATGCAATATTTTGCATTCGTGTTTAATATGCATTCATTTGTTTTTAGCTTGTAATTACTGTGTCAATTGCAATTGCTTGTGTGTTCTGATTGTTGAGATGCTCTAATAACTAGCTCAATATACCTGCTTCAATACAATTTTTGTAGTATCGTTGTAATACTGGCATTCACCATCCTTCAGTTTATCATCTCCATCTGTATCTCAACATTTGCCTGCAAAGCCATAAGCTAAACTGACTCTACAGTAGTAAATGAGGCACTAAACCAGTTAAATGATTTAGAGATGATGTTATTATTCCCATTACCAGGGTGGCAGTCAGTCATTTGCATTGAAGTCAATTGAGAGAACGATGCAACTCCACTGAACAAGCCACAAAAGCTATTAGAATGAAAAGGAATGCAATAAAGCAATGTTTCATGGTAAACTGCCTTCAGTGCACATCATACTGTATGAAATGGGTATAAGAATATAACATAGCATGCTTGATTGCTTTTCTCTTTATAATTTAGCAAAGACAGTACAACCTAAAAAAGGTCTGTATGGTGTGGCTCTTAGCAGAATTAAAACTGAGTCTCTTCTGTACTAACATACAGTATCTTGTCTGTTGCTTCTCAGGAAAACTGAGTCACAGTGAAGAGATCAAAGGCTGCAGGAAATTAATATCTCACATTGTTGCTTTTTTATAGTGTTACAGTGTTGTATTCATGCATATATGAAAATTATACTAATGCATCTGTCCCAACGTTTTGACATGCATTTTCTTTTTTATGTTTGACATGGAGAAAAAGATGGTATTTGTTAACCAAGTTTCTGAATGAGTATATTCTGAAAGTATTTTAAGATCAGTGTTGGGGGTAACACATTACAAGTAGTGTGAGTTATGTAATCGGATTACTTTTTCAAGTAACTTGTCACACACTCACTGTTTGGACCCTGTTTGTGTTTGTGTAGTAAATTGGTTGTCATGGTTGTTCATTATGATGTTTAGGTGTGTGCCATTATCCTCCCTACTTAAGTTCAGTTCTTTTAGTGTTTGATTGTTGGGTCTCGTCTCTGTGTAGTTGTGGTAAATGTACTGTTGGACTTACCCTGTGGCATATTAAAGCCTGTTTACCTTCATCTTATTTGTGCATTTTGTCTCTCGTCTCACAGCCCATGACATATTACTTTTTAATTTACAGGAAAAATGTCAATAAGTCAACTTATCAAATAAGTAATGCCAGCTACTTTGTTTTGCCATTTATTGACTGACAGCTCTTCTGTCCCCATGTTGAGAGAAATCAGGAGTAAGTCTAGAGGCGTTGTGTGAACATGGTGCTTCCTGTAGTTCTAGACTAAATGTGAACATGCACTTGCACAAAAACAATAACACTCCAAAGAGAAAGGAAGAATTGAAATCGCATCATATGACCCCTTTAAGTAAAAGAAATATCCTTCATTTATTTAATCCCATTTTAATAATCAATGTCTTCGCTGCTGACCAGCGATGATCCAATTCCACCATAATAATAAAACAATAGATTGCTGAAGAGTGTTGAACTTTCTTCTCCTGCATCTTTTGCAGTTCAGAATGGCAGCACAGCTGAAAAGTTTGTTTGAGCTGCAGCCTCTACTGAATAGCTATGACTTTACATTTCCTTCCTCTTGAGGCTTTTTCAATTCACTTTAAGTGTGAAAGGTCTATTACATTTGCCAAAAGTGCATTTAAAAAAAAATCAAACAAACAAACATGCAAGCCCAGCCCAGATGAGAAAAAGTAAGGTAACGCATTACTTTCCATAAAAATAAGTAACACAATTAGTTACTTTTTTAAGGAGTAATGCAATATTGTAATTGTAAGACTGTTTTATCTTAACGTATGTTAATACAGCGGAAAAAACACAAACGCAGACAAACACACACACACTAAAAACTTTTTACAGATATTTGTGTTCACAAATATCTATAATTTATATGCTACCTTGTAGTTTTTATTTGAATTTCAGGAGGAAGAGTGTTACATAATCATTAAAAGTATAAAGCAAGTTCATATGAACATATCAAGCTCCTCCTTAACAGTTCTTCACAGAGCACACAAAGATCACAAGAGCGATCAGACATCCTCATCAACACAACTCATTTCACTTCAGGTAAAATATTTCATGCATCCATTAACATCTATGATTAGTTTAATTTAAGTCTATATTTATATACACACTTTGAAATACATCATTTAAAAATCAACCATCATCTTTTGAAATTTGTGATCTTTCACACCAGTGATTGTTTTAGTGTAAGTTTTTGCTCATTTACTGTTATATTTTGCTATATGTCAAAAATACTCTATACATTTTTTAAGTGTTTCTCAGACAATCAAATGATTATGATATGAGTGAGAGTGACAACATTTTTAGCTGTCCTCTTTTTTACTTATTACATTGCAAGCTAATGTAAGCCTTAGAAACATTCTTGATTTAGAAACCCTTGCAGTATGCCAGTTTTATAAGTCACTCTAGACAAGAGTATCAGATAATGTTTTAAATATTAATGCAGATGTACCGTACATGAAAAGCAGAGAAAATGAACTGTAAATGAATTGTAAACTGCAGAATTTTAATGCTTAAAGGGTAAGTTCATCCCAAAATGAAAAATTTGTCATTAATTACTCACCCTCATGTCGTTCCAAACCTGTAATACCTTCAACACAAATTAAGATATTTTTGCTGAAATCTGAGAGCTTTCTGAGCCTCCATAGACAGCAACACAACTGACACGTTCAAGGTCCAGAAAGGTAGTAAGGACATCATTAAATTATCCATGTGACATCAGTGGTTCAACCGTAATTTTTATGAAGCTACGAGAGCTACATCATTTAAGTCAGTTTCTTTCTTCTGTTGAACACAAAAGGTATAGTATTTTTATTTTTATTAAAGGTAGAGTATTCTGTTTTTTTTCCACGCCAATGGTCACCGGCCATTGGTGTTGATTACCAACATTCTTTTAAACATCTTTGTGTTCAGCAGAAGAAAGAAACTGATGTAAATTATGTAAATGATGACAGAATTCTCATTTTTGGGTGAACTATTCCACTAATTCCAGGTGAAAACTTTGCCTAGAATGGAAAGCAGCGAGGTCATATCAACTGACAAAGCTACAGTTATCATCCAAGTCAATCCACAGGTGGCACAACATACTGTTATTTCTGAGGATGGACAGGAGACCGGAGGAGCATATCACAATACGGCTCTTACAGAATTTGTCAGAGCACAACCAAAGGCACTGGGGGTAATGCATTTAATGATTCATCATAATTATGATTGATTTGGGGAATACTTTTAGTATCTAATTTTCTTCTGTGACAAAATAGAAAAAAATGTTGTCATAAGTCCTTAAGTGAATAGATGTGTGCATTTCTGTTTGTGTTTAGACTGTAGTGCATAAAACATTACAATACTGTAGATTTCCTTTGTGTGTGTGTGTCCAAACATGAATGATAATGTTATTAAAAACAAACAAACATTTGACCCTTTTCTGCCCTGTTTAGACTGTCCAGATAATGACTGGAGTGCTGGTTTTCCTATTTGGTATTTTACGCACCAGTGACTACAATTACGGTTACCCTATATCTGTCATTACTGGCATAACCTACTGGGGATCCCTTATTGTAAGTTTCAGTCAGTCACGTTCGACGTTACGTGACGAATTGGGATCTCGCCTGAGAGCCTAACCATCTTCGAGTGTAACAAAACAAGCCAATGGATATGTGAAATTTGCATTGCACACCGCGCCCCGCAAAGCAGGTATATGGAAGAGCACAGGCAATCGCACATTCAGCTTTTCGCTTTGGAGCTAAGTGTTTGTGCTTTAAGTAATCATCTGATAGTGACGAGTGTACGAGCATTTAAAAGTTCTTTATACAAGTGTGGGTGTGATGGCGCGTCAGCGGTGGTAGAAATCTTTACTGTATTTCCTGCAGCCTTTCAAAAAAGAGCTTCTTTGCATGCTGCAGATTGGAAACTGCCTGTCAGTTGTGCTGCGACCTTCCCCTGGGCACTTTAGCACTTAAAACAAAAAGAGCAGTTTCCCTAAAAGAGTGACTCAAATGTGACATTGCATCTTTTTAAAGATGCCATTAAACATGTCATTTACAGACTGTTATTCCTGGCCCCATCTGACAGTCACAATCACTGTCTTGCGTGCCTGGGCTTAAAGCACGCTGAGCTGGCTTTCGTGGATGAGTCATGTTCCCATTGTGGGAAGATGACCATTCCGATGTTGTGGTCAAAACTTGAGTACCTCAAACGAAGTGGAGTCCCTCAGCTATACCCCGACCTAGATCCTCCTTACGGGGGAGGACCACTTCAGCAATTAGCCAGGGTGGCCTGAGGATCACAGTAAGGGCTCCCCTGCCGAGTACAACTCCGTGGTGCCCTCACTTACCTCTAGTAAGCTGTGGAGCTTCCAGATGTGGTTGTTGGTCCTTCTCACGGGGGACCCAGCATCTCATTCGGGGCTCTGGAGGAGGATCGGATGTCGATCGCTGCATCGGAGGGTGAGCTAGACTCCTTTGGGGATGAAGACTTGGCTGCATCACCCCCTTCGGGGAAAGTAGCATTGACGGAGTCAGACCCAGAGCTGACAGCTATGCTTTCCCGGGCCACTGAGAGTGTCGGCTCGAGTGGAGGCCTTCTCCATCTCCTGAACATTCAAGGCTGGACGATTGGTACATGGGGGTGCATGTTGACCATCAGCATCCATCCCCGGTACGTTTCTTTGCGGAAGTGCATGACGAGTTCACTATGTCGTGGAGGGCACCTTTTGCTAGGCTAGGTTCCCACATGTTGTGATTCCCCCTTTGGGTGATCCCATATGTGTATTCTTCCACGGTACAGCTTACCTCATAGTGAGCCCGTGTCTTTTCCTGGCAGAGCTGCTCTGCCGTCTCTGCTTGGTATTAATTTCACCCGAGCTAGGCTGGGTCTACCACAAAGACCTTCCATATGTAGCACTGTCCTGATTGGCCAGTACATGCGTGTAATTTCCACATAATACCTCCTATATGCAGGATGTGGTCTTCGTAGTGTTCTCTTACAGGGGTACACTTCCCAGTGTTATCCAAATGTCTCACTGTACAGAACAGCAGTGATGGACACTTCTCTGTCTAAGCCCTGTCCTGTCTTCTGCCCCAGCAGGTGTGGGGGGATTTGCTGGCTTACGCAGGGCACTAGAAAGGGTAGCAATAGTGGCGCTTTGGTAGGGATCCCAATTCAAGGAGGGAACGGAGACGTTACGTCCCGTTGGCTCAATTGCTGTACCACCAATTGAGCAAATCTCGCAAATCTCACACGCCAATATCCATTGGCTCGCTTTGTTACACTCAAAGATGGTTGGGCTCTCGAGCGAAGATCCCAATTTGTCAGTCGCTCTGACATAATGTCTCTGTTCCCTCCTTCAGGGAACGAGGGTTTCATGCATAACCGAGACATTTAATTTTATGGTTTTAGTTTCTAGCTTCTGATTTTAATTTCTAGAATGAACATGAGCATGTCCTGTGTTTCTTTCAGTACATCAGTGCTGGCTCTCTGTCTGTTGCTGCGCAGAATAAACTTCATCCGTGTGTGGTGCGTACATCCAATGTGATGAACAATTTTTTTTCTTACATTGTTTGTGATGTATTCATACAGTATTATTCACATTACTTTTTTGCAATTTATAACACTAAAAGCACAAAGCAAGCCTTTCTATTATCTGTTGATTCAGTAAAGACTGCATGCAGTAGGGTACAATGGGGCTACAGGGTAAATTTTAATTTCGTCCCTAAACACAGTAGAAAACTAAAAAATAATGTGGCAAAAAACATTCTTAAGGGGACTGTTAGCCTCACTGATACATCAGCATAAACAGAATAAAAGGAAACCACGAGATTTCTATGGTAAACTCACTTTTACCAGTGTAGTCTGAAAACTGAGACACTTTAGGATGTGAACTAAAAGATATCTGACTCATTTTCAATTTACAAAGGTAAAAACTGCACAGAAAATATTTAAATTTCACAACTAATTACAAAGAAATGGCAAGTAACACAAATTGTGAAATTTATAGCAGAAATCATACTTTCCTGTAAAACATACTCCATTTTTTTTACTTCATATATATATATAATTTACAGTGTGACTTACAGCTGTTTTACAAGTATACACACCATTACTACTGTCACCCTTCATGTGTCAGCTTTTCTTCCTGCAGGTGAAAGGCTCTCTTATAATGAATGTGATCAGTGCAATAACTGCAGCGACCGCCATTGTTCTGATGAGCATAGAAATGCAACACCCTGCAAGGAACTATAGAAGATGTTACATGAATTACAGTGACTACGACACTTGTTTATTGATGGTACAATATAAAATACTATATTAATGTGATCGGTTTAAATTTATTTTTATTTTTTAATTGCAGTTTTATTTATTTATTTAAATAAATAGTTCACCCCAAAATGACAATGGTGTCATAATTTACTATTTTAAGGTAATTTTTCCTAATAAATATTGTGCTGCATACAATTACAATGAACTGGACATTTCATACTTCAAATAATGCAAAGACACCATAAAAGTATCATAGAAGTAGTCCATGTGACTTGTGTGCTATGTTTCAAGTGTTAGCTATATGTAAAGTGTAAAGCTATATGTATAATGCAATATTACTTTAAGAAAAAAACAAAAATTCATGGAATATTATTTGAGAAACTAATTTCATATGGGTATGTTGAATATTTTTTAGAGATATGAACTGGGGATCGTTGGAATATTGCTGGTGTTCTCCATCCTTCAGTTCATCATTTCCATCTTTATCTCAGGATTTGCCTGCAAAGCCAACAGCAACAATGACTCTACAGTGATAAATGTGGCACTGAAGCAGGTAAATGATTTAGTGATGACCACCAGGGTCAGTATTTTCCCCAATAAACAGTATGTACTTTAATTTTACATTAAACAAGTCACAACTAGGGATGTCCCGATCAAGTTTTTTGCTCCCCCGATCTGATCCGAGTCATTGAATATTGAGAATCTGCCGATACCAAGTCCTGATCCAATACTTGTATATTCCTAGTGTTTGATGCACAATACAAGTACATTAAAGTTAAAAGTAATGTGTGTGTGTACACATATATAGGATACACTCTCTATGTATGTAGTTGCACATACTGTATAAAGACATTGGTAGAATACGGGACTACTGAATAATGATGGGATTATTACAGGTTGAGTTAGACCCCATCAGCCTGTGCCATCTAGAGTTTCATGACAGAATTTTGGATTTATGCTACATACAGTAAAACATATCTTATTTACTCCTAAATAAAATACAACATCACGCTTTATTGTACACTACTTTTTCACTCTGCTAGACTGTTGAAGTGTGTGACAGTTTTCCGTTTGTTATTCCTCAAATATAGCTTATAAAAATAATTATTATAGTGTGTGGATGTTAGTAAAATTAAAACTGATAAGTCTGAATTTCTTCTGTACTAACATGTCTTGTCTGTTACTTCCCAGGGAAACTGAGTCACAGTGAGGAGATCCTACCGTTAAAAGGCTGCAAGGAATGAATAACTCGTATTGTTGCTTCTGTTGACTCAAGACATTTTTTAAATTTTATAAGTGTTACAGAACTGAACAGAAAAAAAGATAACTGAGAATTAAAAGTACATCAAATGATTTGTTTATTGACACAAAGACACTTTTGTGTCTCTGGTGTCTTTTATTATTTTAAACTAAAACAGTAATAATAATAAAATATATATAATATATATAAAACTTGTAAAATATTTATTTATAATCGAAACAACTTTTGCTGCTGCTGTTGACTTAATAGAGCATAAAACCATCATTAAGGTCCTTGCACACTGAGGCTGAAATTTTCATGTGTTTTTTCGTATTCGTCATCCTTTCCTATCAAAATTAGTGCTGGCTGAGAGTCGCTGGGTTAGAAAGATTGACAAACCCTGTACTAAAGGACCGAGAGAGATGAACAGTCTAACTCTATCTATCAAATACAATGCAAATGGTATCAGACATGTTCTTTGAAACAAGAACGTAATAGTCCCTGACTGTAATCCCTCATAATGACACACTTTGAAAACAATGGCAATCAACATTTTGTCAAAGGTCGTATGAAAGCATCCAGATGCAGAGTGCACTTAGAAAGAAATTAAATGCTCTAAAATGTTCTTTTGCTGCTTTCAACAGTTGGATACTGTCGGTGTAAAACATCTATTGTCTGCAAAAACAACGAGATGCCACACACACACTTCCAGACAGGTGTAAGAACCATCATCTGGTGTCAAAACTAGCAACATGCATCATTATATCAGTGCACTAAAGAACAACTGCTTAATTTAGATGTGAATGCCTCTTTTCTCTACATTTCAGCACTGACTTGTGTCTCAGTCTAATCCAGAGGTACCAATTGTGCCCTTGTGAAAAGTCCAGTTTATAAACTGGTAACTGTGCTTTTGGAACATGGTTTAGTTGGTAAGCTGGATATAGGCCTATTTGCTGGACCAAAATATAGTACTAATGAGCTACCATGTCTAAATACTAGCTATTGTTTCTGGTTCAGGATGATATAGCTACCAATTTGTAGGCTAGCAGCTAGAAAATGTTGTCATCATTTAGGCTACTAGCATTTTCACAAAACAGAATGTGTTTTGAAAGATGTCTTGACCATACAATGAAAGTAAATGGTGTCCAGTGTTGTTTGGACCTCAGCATTATTCGACATGAGAGAGAGTAAACGACAGATTTGTCATTGTTGGTGAATTATCCCTTTAAACGTGATTTCCCAGCAGAGTTGTTAAATTAACGCAGGTAATATAATAAGCCTGTCTAAATTGCAAATCAAATATCAATATACCGTATTGTCCAGATTCAGATTAAATATTATTTACGAGTTTACAAAAACTCGCCACTTAAAGGGGTCATATGATGTTGCTAAAAAGAACATTATTTTGTGTATTTGGTGTAATGAAATGTGTTTATGCGGTTTAAGGTAAAAAAAAACACATTATTTTCCACATACTGTACATTATTGTTTCTCCTCTATGCCCCGCCTTTCTGAAACGCACCGATTTTTACAAAGCTCATCGGTCTGAAAAGTGAGGTGTACGCTGATTGGCCAGCTATCTAGTGCGTTGTGATTGGCCGAATACCTCAAGCGTGTGACGGAAATGTTACGGCCCTTAACACACTGTGATGCCCTGTCCGGCCGGAGCGACGAGACAAAAACATTAAAACCCATTATAAACGAGGCATTTGTTGCATCCAGTGGGGACACTGTTACAGATTATGCTTGTAACACTTCAAAGAGAAAGGAAAAATTTAAATCGCATCACTTGACCCCTTTAAAGGATTGGGTTTGACTGAGTTTATATGTTGGGAAACAGCGCCACCTGCGGGTCAACCTACAATTTAAACACGTGTGGCTTTTATGGCAGTGAAGCTGTTGAACTGCAGGAGGTATAGCCTACTTTTCTACTACGTTTTCCCCAGCATGTCTTATTATTATGATTGATTTTTGGTCGATCCCTACTCTTTCTGGATCCATGAGGATATAAGTACAAATTTATGTTTTTGTCTTTATTCATGTCAAACAACTTAAGTGACCTTCATACAAGTAGTCTATAGAACAATGACATATGTAATCAAAACAGTAATAAAATAAAAACCAAAAGCCAGCAAAAAGAAACATTTAGGCCTATATAAGTTTAAGAATTGAATGTAATGCTTGACTTTTCAAAGATTTGTTTTATGCCCATCAAAGACAAAATATAGGAATTATATTTTTAAAAAGATTAACAGTAATGGATCCTTACCCCAAAATTTGTATTCATGAATTAAAAATGACCCAGAATTAAAAAATACATAAACAATGTACTCGAGAATATAAAGAAAAATATTAAATGTGTTTAAGCATAGATGTTTTTTCCTAAAAGCTTTCATACAAACACATTCACAAAACAGATGTACAATTGTCTCTTCTGTCACAGAAAGAGCTTTTTTCCCCTCAATATTTTTTAAATATACTTATTAAGTGTGCTATTACATGGGTAAATTTTAAAGGCCTACGTGACAAGGGTATATTTATTATATGTGACCCTGGACCACAAAACCAGTCATAAGTAGCACAGGTATATTTGTTGCAATAGCCAACAATACATTGTATGGGTTAAAATTATCGATTTTTCTTTTATGCCAAAAATCATTAGGAAATTAATTAAAGAAGTTCTATGAAGATATTTTGTGCCTACTGTCAATATATTAAAACTAAATTTTTGAAAACTTTAAAGGTGATTTTCTCAATATTTTGATTTTTTCAGATTCCAGATTTTCAAATAGTTGTATCTCGGCCAAATATGGTCCTATCATAACAAACCATACATCAACGGAAAGCTTGTTATTCGGCTTTCAGATGATGTATAAATCTCAATTTTGAAAAATTGACCCTTATGACTGGTTTTGCAGTCCAGGATCACATATATTACAAGGGTATATTATTTTCTTTTATCTTGTTTGTTAATAGATATTTGTGGGGAAAGACCAGACCAAATTACAGTTACTGTATAACTGCATCCATTGAAAAGATGATGCTGGAATAGGTTTTCTGTTGAAATTATAGCCAACAAAGTGATTTTTAATTTGTCATCAGTAGTAAATTTCCTCCATTGAGCAATAATAATTCCTCTGTGCTTCCCCCCGCCCAGTGGAGGAGTCCGGAACTACAAGATTATTGTGCTGACCATTACTTTTATATCAATCTTGTGTTCAGGTTATTCATTTTGTATTGACTTAGTACTATGTACATAGACAAAAGAATGATAGATATTTGTGGGGAAAGACCAGACCAAATTACAGTTACTGTATAACTGCATCCATTGAAAAGATGATGCTGGAATAGGTTTTCTGTTGAAATTATAGCCAACAAAGTGATTTTTAATTTGTCATCAGTAGTAAATTTCCTCCATTGAGCAATAATAATTCCTCTGTGCTTCCCCCCGCCCAGTGGAGGAGTCCGGAACTACATGAAATTATTGTGCTGACCATTAGTTTTATATCAATCTTGTGTTCAGGTTATTCATTTTGTATTGATTTAGTAATATGTACATAGACAAAAGAATGCATTATTATTTCTAGTTTTATTTTTATTTAATCAAATTAGTGAAAATAAATCCTCTGGCCTAAATTGTAGTTAATATTTTGTTCACCACTATTAGGTAATTTGTAGCCCAAGTCATAATAAACATTTTAAGCAATAAACATAGTTTTTATGATTCTCACATTCTTCCAAACGTAGGCTAAATGTTATCTGCACATGTGATAATGACATAGCAATCTCTTTGAACAACAACATACACATCGTCACATTACTAAATGAACACAGTGGATTGTTTG